GTCTAGCTTCTTGAAGTACTTGCTCAGCAGACAGACTGAATAAGTGTAATGAAAGGCTACAACCCTGCTGCATACGTTTCCTGATGATTTTTAACCAGGATGTATCTCCTTGTTCCATCTATTGCCTCTTAGTCTATGTACAGATTCCACACGGGCATGCTTAACAAATGACATTTGTTATTTCTTAATTTGCCATGCTCCACATAGTTGAGGGTCTTTACGTAGCCAATAAGACAAAGATAAACATCTTTCTGCTATTCTCCACTTTTAGACAGGGCTTGCCTGACAAAAAGGATTGATAGTCCTCGTTCCACATTCTCTTCTGAATTTGGCCTGAATTTTTGGCAGTTCTCTGTAAGAGAATTGCTGCAATTGGTTTTGAGTCATTTTCAGCCATATGTTGTATACTGTTTGATCATTCCTGCATTCTGTTGGGTCACCTTTGTTTGGAATGGGTACCTAAAGGGATCTCTTCCAGCCTTCCACACAAGTAGCTGCCTTCCATATTGCTTCGTGTAGGTGAGTGATCTCTTCCAGCATTGCATTTGAAACCAGGACTTTGAACTGTTTCTTCCCAATTCAGTATAGCTGAGGAAGCAAAACTGTAACAGACTTGGAATTTTGAAGACTTTGGTGAACTAAGGCAATAACCAGAATGAGAAAAGCTGCCAGTGTGAAACACTGCTAGAAACTTAATCTTCCCCTCAGAAAACAAGGGCAGCATATTTATTGCATAGCAACCAAATCTCTTGTCATCAGATATTTTTTCCACATGTTTAAAAATGTCTATTATATTTTAATATTAGTTTGGCTGGGTATAAAATTTCTAGGTTCCTTTTTTATTCTTGATTTTTAAAAAAATCCTTCCCAGCTACCCTGCTTTAAATGTATCACTATCCATAGCCCTGCCAATAATTCAGTCTCAGAAATCAGACTCCTGAAAGGTCTCCCTGCATCTCTTCTGCGTCTCTCATTCTAAGGCCTGGACCTATAATTTTCCTGTACCTGTAATTGTGGAGAAAGCCAGCCCCTCACACTATCACAGGTAGAGTAAGTGCAATTGTACTGTTAAAATATATCAAGATTATAGTAAAGTCATAGAGAATAAAAGAGATACGAGAACGAATAAAAGAAAGGAGTCAGATACATTTCATGGTAGCATGCTCACCTCCTGGACGGCCATGATCTCACAGCCAGGTCCACGCACAGTGTGGGTGGAGGAGAGGGGAGAAGAAAGAGTGAGCGATTTATTTCTAACCAAGGCTTATATATTTTGGGGGAGCATGCAAGCCCCCTGGTTACAGGTAAAGACATACGTCACAGGAAGGGGTTGTACTATAGGTAATACAGTAATGGGAGGGGGACAATCTAGGGGTGTACACGCTACAGGAAGAGGAGGGATTAAGGGTATGCGTGTGACAAGATGGGTGGATCGTAGATTCATGATGGTGGCCTAGCCTTGATTGTCCATGAGCTGGAGACTTGATTTACTCTGAGCCCTTCAAGGAAAGCAGTCCATTGTCCCTAACAGTAGGGAGTGAGCCTCACCTATGGTGGGACAGACAATAGGTCTGGTTGCTCTGGATGGCTGGTGTCTCAGGGAGATAACTTGACAATCATTTACCATTAGTTTCAAGCGGTGCCCTAGGTCTCACATATATATTTGGGGGAGAGAAGCTGGGGAAAGTCTTTTTATATCCCACAAGTTATCATTCCAGATCCCCCAAATTAAAAAAAAATTAAGCTAGTTCAAATCTGTTGGAAGCCCTGGTTCTTGAAGCCTCTCAGTTAGTATTCTGTCAATTCCTAGAGCCTTGCTGTTTACCAATGCCCCTGGCATTATTTGGGCTGATAATATCGACCTTCTCCGTCACCTCTTTCCACAGATGTAGTCCACTCAATTCCTGTGTAATCCACCAGGTGATCGCCACCATTTCTTTCACTGGGACCAACCACCGTTCTTTCCTCTTTGCTCCCAACTTTTGCTTTCCAGTCATCAGTAATTGTCAGTACATCTTGACTGCATGTTCAGATGATTTCAGACTGCAGAAGTTGGTCAGAGGAAAAAGGCATCAACTTCTTCATTTATATGTATGCATGATAAAATGGGATTGTTTTAGTCTGGGTAGACTAGAGAAACAAATTCATGGACACGTGTGTAAGGGAGAACTTTATATCAAAGATAATTATACATTAAGAAAACATTCCAGCCCAGTCCAGATCAAATCCATAAGTCCGATATGACCCATATGTTGATTCTAGTCCATAAATTCCTCTTTACTCACACAGTTATGCAATGACGCCAAATGCAGGAAGATCACAGGCCAGTGGGTGGAAAGTCTTATGGATCCAGTAGTGGTGGAAGCATCTGAGCGCTGGTGTGGCTCTCCATGTGGCTCCTCCAGCTCCTGGGCTCTAGTATAGCTCCATGTGTCTTGTCAGCAGGAAGATGAAGCAGAGACTGTGTAGGTCTGGCCTCCAGTGAGCTATTTATCTCTGTTTGCAACTCCCAAAAGAAGTCATCAAACTGTGAGCTGATTGGAGGCTGGACTCCACCCCTTTGCAAGTTGACAGTAGATTATGTAACTGCCACAGGGATCTTGCTGCTTTATAATTTGTTCTGTTCATGCAATAGTAGAGTATCTTTTCATGTCTGTGAAGTATACTTTGATCATATGATCTGTATCTGAAAAAAAATCATGCTCAGTTACCCAGGCAAAAGGTCCCTTTGATTTTTTTTTTTTTAACATTTTATTAGGGGCTCATACAACTGTTATCCCAATCCATACACACATCAATTGTGTAAAGTGCATTTGTACATCGTTTCTCAAAACATTTTCTCTCCATTTAAACCCCCGACATTAGGTCCTCATTTTTCCCCTCCCTCCCCGCTCCCCCCTCCCGCATGAGCCCTTGATAGTTTATAAATTGGTATTTTGTCATATCTTGCCCTGTCCGACATCTCCCTTCACCCACTTTTTGGTTGTCTGTCTCCCAGTCACATGTAGATCCTTTCCCCAGGGAAGAGGTCACATGTAATCGGTTCCCTCTTTCCTACCCATTCTCCCTTTACCCTCCCTGTTTTGCCACTCACACCACTGGTCCTATAGGGCTCATCCGTCCTGGATTCCCTGTATTTTCAGTTCCTATCTGTACCAGTGTACCTCCTCTGGTCTAGCCAGACTTGCTAGATCGAATTCGAGTCATGGTAGTGGGAGCGGGGAGGAAACATTTAGGAACTAGAGGAAAGTTGTATTTCTCATCATTGTTACATCGCACCCTGACTGGCTCATCTCCTCCCCGACCCTTTGATTTTTAAAAACATTTTTATTGGGGGGCTCGTATAGCTCTTATCACAATACATACATACATACATGCATAGTGTCAGGCACATTTGCACATTTGTTGCCATCATCAGGGCTTGGTGGGCCAGGATGTGTTCAACTCTTTCTCCTCCCCTCTTTGTTTGCTCTTATGTGTTCTGACAGACAGCTGCAGCTTCAGTGCTGTCCTCTGTAGTGCATTCTTCTGGGAGGGGATGTGGTGGTGTCTGCATAGTTGGGATTGGGGCTGGCCCCTGCAGACCCCCTTTGATCCTTTGAGCTTCTGTATGGACTGGGGAGGGCAGGTGAAGTTAGCAGCCCAGGTGACTCATTCATTGTGTGGACTGAAGTAAGACAGAGGCAAGCCAGGCCTATGCTGGTTAAGGTAGCGCCAGTTTACAGAGCTGCTTTTCATTGCTCTCCTTTCCACCAGGAAAGCCGCTATGCTCCCTACACCAGTGATCTGTACACACACATCCCTCCCCAGTGAATCATGTCAACCAAGTTTTAAACACAAACATCAAGGAGTTGTTCTTTCGTAACTTCCTTTCCCCCCCAAGCCCCAGTGCTTCTTGATGGAAGTGGCTCTCCAAGTGTAGTCAGAAGAGTAATAGGGGAGAGACTTCATTCCCAGTATAGCTGCTAATCTTGCTTAATTCCCGGGAGTCTTTCAGTCCGAGGTTGTTTGTCCTTGCCTTGGTGGCAGGACCATGAGTTAACAGACAACGGGAACGGAGAAGGAAGGTATGGGAGCTTGTGGCTTGTTGGGAAGATAGTACTACACAGGTTTCTCAGAAGGGGTATTTTAAAGTACAGGGCATTTTGTTTTATTTCACCAAGCACATTTCCTCTTTCTGCGAAACAACAGTGAGTGTGTTCAGGTTGTTTTCAGTTCCTTATGTGTTGTCCTTGCATTCCCTTTGTACCCAGGAAAGCGTGTTTATAGAGGTGTGCCCATCAGTCAGCCCAACGGGTTTTGTCTTGTTCTCAGATGTTAGCTGGGTATTTACGTGCAACCAGAACCAGACTCCAAACGTACTGCCCCGAAGCCCGTGCGGACTCACAGTGACGCTGTTGACAGGGTAGAACGGCCCGTGGCTTTCTGAGACGGTAACTCCTTATGGGAATAGAAAGCCCCGTTTGCTAAAGGATCTGTAAAATAGTGAATTTTCTAGAAGCTACAGACATATGTAGAGAAGTGCAAGGGGAGAAGAGGATTAGAATCTTGTTTTTTAAATAAAATGAGGCTGTTTTACACATCTACATAACCCCAAATATGGATCAATTTCACTTATGCAAATACCTGTAATCCTTTGATGCCTTACATTTCTTCAAGTAATATTTCAGTCTTGAGTGTCTTCATCGATAACGACTGATACTGGGTAGTTTGAACTTTACTGTGCCATGCCTTATTTAAAAGAGGAAGGAAAAAAAACCCCAGCGGGATTCACCACAGTTCTATGACATGAAATGATGCACTTTTGCTCATGCTGTCCACAGTGTTGAACGTGTCTGTGGGTGTGCCGTTCCCGCGTGCTTTCCCTGGATAAAATTCCCCTGTTCCCTATGGAACTATCATTAGATCTGGACGCGCCTTCTCAGTTTGCCCTTATAAGGCTATCCTGCTTTCTCACTTCCTGCTTGGACGCCTTACTTTTCTCCCTTCCCCTCTGCCTCCCGGGTGGATGCTTTCTGCCTGCAGCCGGCCTCTAACTGTTCACAGCTGTCTGGAACAGCTAGCCGGCCGCCCCGCCGAGGTTCGACTTTCATTTTACAAAGAACAGCATGCTTGAAGGTTTCCACAGGCAAGTTCTAACTGGCACTTCCTTCTCCTTCTTGTAGAACACTGAAAATCTCCCCCAGCACTTTCGGAGGGGCACCCTGACGGTGCTGAAGAAGAAGTGGGAGCACCCAGCGCTGGCCGCCCAGTCCCACCCGGAGACGCAGCGGAGCGGCGGCGCCCAGAGCAGGACCCGAGCGCACCCTCCTCCCGCCCCGGCGGCCAGCAAGCCCGCGCCTGCCGCGGCCGCGGACCCCGGGGAAGGCGGCCGCAGCCCAGCCAGCTCCGGCTCAGCCCCCGACGCCCCCGCGCAGGGCCGGCACCCCCGCCACGAGCCCCGGGAGGATCTTCACGACCGTGAAAAGATGGAAAGTTGTCTGGGAGAGCCCAGGCATGAAGTCGGGAAACCCGAAGGCGGTGAGCACCCAGATCCGACCGGCAAAATAGAGAAGTACAACGTCCCGCTGAACAGGCTGAAGATGATGTTCGAGAAAGGCGAACCCACGCCGACCAAGGTAAGGGCACGCAGGCTCTACACCGAGTGAAAAGAGCCACCCCCCGCCCCGCCAGGCAGTTTTGAGTGTAGATGAATACGTGGTCTTTTTTTGATTCAGGTTGGATGAACTAATGAGAATTCGTAAATGGATTATGCACACAAATACTGGTACTTGAGAGCCAGCCACCTCCCAAGCCCTCGTTAAATTTACACTGGGGCTCGGGATGAGATGTGGAAACGAGCTGAGTTGGGCTTTGTGTGTTTGTATGCTTGCCCGTTTCATTTGTCTTCCTGTGTCTGTCGTGTGCAACTGGAGGGGGGCGGGGGTTTGAAGCCCTCTCCATTCGGACGCAGCTGCAGCTCGAGGGCTAGAGTTTAACCTAAGACTGAGGCTTAGCTGTCTCCTTGCTCGCTGAATCCCTTCTCTTCTCCACCCCCTCGTCTGTGCCTTCCAACAAATGTTTTCTATCAGCCAAATCCTCTCCCAGGAAAAATCGATGAAGATAGCCAGACCAGCCTTGGCCTTCAGGAGTTTTGACTTGCAAATGCTCAGGGTTGCATTTTCCTACGACTGCTAATGAAATTTGATCCTTCATGTGGATTGCAGCCTGGGTCCCCAGGGGGAATTACTTAACTAGAAAATGAGTTACATATGCTGGTGACTTAGAACACAATCCAGAGGCAGCAGAGCTGGTAAATTTTTCCAGTTTTCTCATACTTTCCTACATATCTGGCTTTGTACCCGGGATGGTTTGTTAGCAGCAGTCATTATAATGAAATAAACAGATCTGACGGAGGGCAAAGCCATCACTGGGTGCCAGCTCCATGGGATATTTTTTGGGGGGGTAGGGGACAGAAGGAGTCGAATGATTTAGCTCAAATCCCTACATTTGTGAAGAGTCCAACATTCTTTCTCAGATAAAAATCAGGTAGCTCAGCCTGGAGGCCTCAGTGATGTTAGGTGTGACTGAGTTAAATCCCTTCCTGTAACTCGTGGGCCTTTGTTTCCTGCCTGGAAAAAAAGTTTCTGGATTGTTTGAGGATCATCTGTTTGAGGGAGTAGGAAGGGTAGGAAGGATATTTTTCAGAGCTTGCAAAGCTAGAACCTTGGCCTGCGCTTGAGTTTCAGCTTTTTATTTCAACCAAAACCAATTGGCTAAAAAGAGTGTGATGACATAAACTCTCTTCCTTGTTCATTTTCAGTTTTCCAGGGCTGCCTCTTTCCCCTTTGTAGCCTCTCTACATTTTAAATTTTTTTGTAATGGGGGAAAAGAATTTTAAATGGAAGGGGGGGGAAAAATGTCCAAAGTCCTAAATAGAGAGGAAGGGGCTTTCTTGTTACTCAAAGCACCATTGTAAGTCTCTTTCTCAAAGACCTTGTTAGGGGCAGGACAGCTGATATCAGGCCAGCACACACAATGTGGATTCAGTGCTCAAGGCTAGTGCGTGTTGAAACTGGCCTAAGGTAGGAAATGACTGGGACTGCTGCGAACAAAAATGCTGATTATGTGTAAGGATCTGGTGAGAGGCTCTTTTCTCATAAATGGCTGGTGCGAGATGGGTCAGAACAAGCCTATCTCTATGCCTTGTCAGAGGAGGAAAATTGCTGTGGTGAAAAAAATGAAAAGATCTGAATAGCCTTCTGCTAGCACTGGTCAGCGTGAGTGTGAAAGGTATGGAAAGATAGCAGGGCTCTAGGGGTGACCAGGGATTTTCCCAATTTGGGGTGCCCTTTTTACTTCCTTAGATAGTCATGTGTCACTTAATGGACTACTGAGGAGTATCAAGCAGAGCAACTCTTGGTTTGATAACTGTTGCTAAATAAAGATTCATGTTAGAAACAGGTCTTGTCTAGTATCTCAATAAAGCAGTTTTTTGAACCTTAGGTTAAGGGATAATGAGTTAGTTTGACACTAGTTTATGGTTAACATAATTTCAGCTTTAATCGGGATTAGGCTTTAGACAGGAAGTTACATATTCGTAACTCTGAGAAATATGGTAGGAACACCAACAAGCCCTTTGTAGGAGCTTGAGTGTCCACCTAAGGAGGTTTACTTCAGAGCTAGGAGGCTAGGAGAAATACATAGACACCAAATCCACTGCTGTTGGGTTGATTCAGAAATCGCTACAGTGGTTGCAGATGGCTGACTCTTTGGTTCCATAATGGAATGTGCACGAGCTGGACTGACTCTCTACTAAGGAGCCCCCAAGAGTCAGGGACCACGGAGATAATCAAAATGTACGGTTATGTGGTCGGTCCTCCTTAATCCACGTATCTGTACTGTTTACAGGAGGCAAAGTGGACTGGTTTGGTCCTGTTCCTTCAGTCTCTCTTGGTCCCTTTTGTCTGAGATGACTGCTGCTCCTGCCCCGCTTCTCTTTCTGAGGGTCTCTTACTCTCCAATCTTTTTCTCTCACAGTGTGTAGTCTCTGTTCCCATGACTCCAAGAGATGAATCCCAAAGATAGAATTCTGAACTCCTGCACAAGATTCCTTCCCATACTTCTAAATACCTGCAGGATCCCACTCCGTGACTGCCCCCCAGGCACTGAAAGTGACTGAAAAGAATCATGTATCTTTCCACCCCAAACCCGTTCTACCACTGGTATCCCTTAATAATCACCGTTTTCTTCGTTTTCCTGGTCTACAAATGTAGGAATCTGTTCTTCCCTCTTCTTATCGCATTCCCTAGTCAATCCCTTACTAACCAACTCCTCTAAGCACGTGCACCTTATAGCCATTTCCCCAAGTATGGCTCCTCCTTTCCAAACCCACATCTAATTCCAGGTTCAGTGTTATCACACATTTACCCATGGCCTTGCTACAGCCTCGGCCATTGGCTACTCATTTCCTCTTCTCATCTGTCTTCCACACTGTTGCTATTTAGTTTTCCTAATCAGAGTGTAGTTGATGCTACTCCATCAGAAGGTAATTAAAAACTTTTTAATCCTCAAAAATGATCTTTATTCAAGTTTTTCACAATCTGCACTCAACTTGCCTTTCCAGTCTGGTAGCCAGTTTTATGCTCAAATTCCGGGTTACTCCTCATTCGCTAAATTTCATGCTGTCTCTTGTTCTTTACTTGCCTGTGAAATCTTACTCATTTCTTACACGCTATCAGGACTAGGAAACCTTACTTTGGTTTTCTCCCATGGAATCAAATTCATCCCTCCTCACCCTCTTGTAGAACTTTATTTTTACTTTCCTTTGGGCACTTATACTTCTTTAGTGTTGTACATGGATTTCTCCAGTCTCCCGCCTATCGTTTCTTTCAAAGTAAAGATGCTTTTATTTTCCAGTGGCCAGCACAGCGACTTGGCTCCTGGTACCCATTTAATGAAAAAGAAGAAGGACGCTTAAAACTCGAGTAATTTAGAAATAATGAGAATTACTTAAAGGATGTTCCTCACTCAATACCTTTGAAGAATGGATAAGTTATTTAGGTCAGATGGTTTAATTGAACGTGATGGCTTTAATTCCTAGGAGCAAATGAATAGTGGCCGGATTACTGTAACCTGTAATCATTTACTAGGAAAAAGAAACGCCCGACTGACACATACTGGATGTGGTTTACCAGCCCTCCAAAAAAGAAAAGAAAAGCACCAAGCGTATGCCATTGAGGACACTCCGAGCCACCCTCTTGGGCAAGGAAGCATTGCCCTGTGGGCTGTAACCCTTCTTGAGAGTAGAAAGCCTCATCCTTCTCCCTTAGCAGCCCTAGCTTCATGTATACGTCAACCTGTGCTTTATTTACCAACAATACCCTTCTGCTAGGCATATTTGTGTTGAGAGGAGGAGAAAGCTGGTCAACTCCTAATAACTAATCAATTATCATCTTAATATTAGAAGCCAGGATGAGGTTATTCAAGAATGATCTCTTTCATCCCCAGGAGTTACCAGAAAATGTGTGACAGACTCCTTAAACCTGTTAGTTTTTCATAACTTACTTCGTCCACCGAAACCCTGGGATGGGAGCCAAGTCCCAACAGCTGAGTGCTGTGTCTCTGCCTTCATGGCCAATTCAACACGGTCCTTTCCTTCGTCAAGTTTACTAAAAGGGATTTTTTGTTTGTTTTTTTCCCAAAAACCTTTTCATTGTGATGTAAGTGGGGTTTAGATTTCAGATCATCATTTTTGTATTCAACAATTTAAACAACATAGTAAACCTCTTACTAGCTTGCCCTGCCCCCCACCCTTTCCCCCTTCACTCCCTCAAAGGATGTTATTTTCTCTTTCACCTAAGTTCGCACCTGTCTGCCTGCTAGCCTGGTGCTCCCCTTTTCCTTCCTCTCGCTCCCACCCTGGATGATCATCAGTCTGTTCCTTTTGGTATGAAAACCTTGATCTTGATTTCCTTCTTTTATATCAGTGGTCTCGTACAATATTTGTCTTTTTGTGATTGACTAACTTCATTAGCAGAATGTCCTCCGAAGCCATCCATGTCAGGATGTGTTTTCACAGTCTCATCGGTCATTCTTGACCAATACGAAGCATTCCATGGTGTGTACGTACCCGTTGATTTATCCATTCTTCTACTGGGGGCATTTGGGTGGCTTCCCTTGTTTTCTGTTGTGAACAGGATGTGATGAGCACAGATGGCGTGTGTCTGCTCGTGCTTCGCTCCGTATCTCTTTAGGGTTTATACCCAGCAGAAGGATTGGTATTTCTATCCCCACTTATTTGAGCAAGCGCTATACCATTTCCACAGTGGTTGTATAGTTTTACAGTCCCGACAGCAGTGCATGAGAGTTCCAGTCTCTCCAGACCCTCTCCAGCAGTTGTTACCGTATATACTCGTGTATATGCCCAGTGTGTCAGCACATTTTTAATGCAGTTTTGTGGTAAAATTAGGTGCCTCGGCTGATATTCGGGTCGAGTTATATTCGAGTATATACGGTATTTTCTCTGTGTGAGTGTGTGTTTTTCACTTTTGCTGTCAAGGTCAGTGTTAGAGGTGGTATCTCCTCGTTACGATTTACATCTCTTGAATGACTGGCAATCGTGAACGTTTTTCCTATG